AAGCAATTATAAACATAGTACTAAATTAGCTAGAAAAAACAGTTTTATAATTCGTACGTATATGAATATGTATATAATATATAGTTGGACATCTGGATCATATCGATCGTATGGGTGCACGCATCCACATCAAATTTAGAAGTGGATTACTAGGGTGGGTGATGAGTTTGAGCAATTGCAGATCACGTTTGGTTATGGTGGAGGATTTCTAGAAGATAACAATATATATATATATATATATACATATATATTTATATAAACATATATCTTTTTTGTTTATATACTAGTGGAAGCTTGTTGAGTGGAAAAAACATACGACTTAAGGATAAGTTTTTCTGTTTTCTGTTTTTGCTTTTCCTTCTGTGTGTTTTATTTTGATTTTGGTTTATTGGCTTTGAACCAGGGTGCTAGTTGACGACGGGTCAGATTCATTTTTGTTTTATCTATGATCAGGATTTTGTTTTAAGGGGGGCATAAACTAAAAATGTGAAAAATGCTATAAATGCTAATAATATCAACACCAACACCTAATACTGTTAGCCAGTTGGAATCACGTTTTATACTTGTGTATTTATCAGTTTATCAAATTTTTTGATACGTGAATTAAAATTTTAAAGTTTATTTTAAAAGATTTTGAAAAAAAAAAAAAGTGTTTATTACTTCAACAATGGCAATTAGACAAAAGATATTTATGTGAAAATAGTAATTGAGAGGGTTGTTGGGAAAAAAATGCTTAATCAGAGACATTTAGGAAGGGTAATTTTAAAGGATCATTTAAAATTTTCTTGTGAGACTCACTTTTGATATATATAATAAAGATTATATGAAAAAAATATATTAGAAGGGACAAATTTGAAAAAAAAAGTTTTAACTAGAGTAAATTAAAAAAATAATTCAATTAAATTACACCAAAAATTAGTATAAGATTTAATATGAAAAGCTCAGAAGAACAATAAAAAAGCAAAAAGTAGGAAAAATATATTTAAATTAAAATGAGTGGAGATATTATAACATTTTTATTAATAAATGGGGTATATTTGAAAAAAAAAACTTGAAAATATATAGGGTGAAAATTGAAGAACTAAAAATTAAGGGGGGCATAAGGGGGCATATATGAAAAAACTTGAAAATATATAGGGTGAAAATAAAAAAAATCAAGAATTTAGGGAGGGGGATGCCCCTGGCCTTATCTCCCTCCGCCCCTGATCTCAATAGATTGTTAAGTGGCCATTGGTTTGAGGGTGTGAGAAAACCATTAATTTTTTTTAATTCAACAAATATATATATATGCTGATTTATGATGCATTCCTTATTTTACCTTTTATTTGGAGGTGGATTTTCTATTTCAGAATATATATATATATATATATATATATTTCCTTCTTGAAATTCTTTATTAGTGACTATATAAAATGAAATATCGAGAATTACAGAACATAAATATATACTACATGAAGAAGCTATATATAGGTTTCAAAGTTTGGTATAAATTTTTGTAGCCATGGGGTATATATAGAGTGCATGACAACTATACATGATAGAGGCCCAATCTGTACGTGCAATTTGTTAGGGGTACCAGTTCGATGGATGAGTGGATGAATCACTTCTTGTAAAATCATATAAAATTAATTATCGGTATTTTTTTTTTACTTTTAGCCGTCGAATTCATATAAAAAATTGTTTGTTCTTCATACTTTTTAATCTGATGTGATTTTGATAAAATCTAACGATCATAAACTGACTTTACTTGTAAGGAGGCCCTACTGAAAAAGTCCCTACTTCTTTATTTGAAGCAACTTTCTTGTCTTTTCTTTCTCTCTCTTTTTCTTCTTTCAAATTTTTCTTCCGTTGATCAAATTTACTCGTGTTAATAATTGTACACTGTATTCCCTAACATTGAGACACAGTTACAGATTCCTAGGGCTTCTAATTTTCTAAACCGCAATACATACTAGCTAGGTAGTACTATTAGTGGTGCTTCCTCTACTCTTATGTTAAGTCAAAGATATCGTTAAAGTTATTAAGCATTATTCTTATAAAAATGTATTTGTACATGTATGAGCAGTCGCATTATCGATATTATTGCGATGCTATGATTAATAACCAAAGATATTGGTCTTTAACATTACATTTTATGATGATCTTCTTGTAGAATAGGTAAGCAACGAATATATATAAGTGGGATATGGCGAAACTAATGCAACAAAGCTCAACTATTCTTATACCAAAATACTAGTTCTTTGGTTCTTAATTGATTAAGAATAATGTAGTTTATTATAGGGCCGGCAATATGAGTCACGACACGACGACACGATTCGAAAACGACACGAATTTTACGGGTTAGGGTTGAGAAAAAAGAGGTTCAGGTCAGAATTGGGTTGACCTGAAATTGACACGAAAAATACGGGTCAATTTTGGATTGGACCCGCCTAACCCGAACACGACACGAAACTCGTAAAAAACTAAAAAATACATATATTTTTCATTTTATATTTTAAATTTTATTATGAACTTGTGATATCATGATAGTTATACTCAAAATCTTATACTATTATTTGCTTAATTTCAATGGATGTTATTGTAATTTAGTGTGTATGAATTTTAAGTTATTTCTAATATGTAAAAAACTAAATAAAAGTATACAATTTTCGTGTCAATTTCAGGTTCACAGGTCAATTTTGTGTCACGGGTCATTTTCAGGTCGTGTCGTGTCAGCTCGTAAAGTGGTCGTGTCATGTTCGTGTTGCGGTTTTTAAAAAATTTCGTGTCACGGGTCGTGTTCGGGTTGACTGCAAATTTAAAAAAAATGATCAAAACACGATACGTGATACGAATTGTCACCCCTAGTTTATTATATATCACCCTAGAAAAATTAATAAAGAAAGAGAACTAAAGGTATTAGAATAAATGGAATTTCAACCACATAAGATTGAACGCTTCTTTTGAGCAAGGAATATCTTAGAATATCAATCAGGGTCACATTTAAATAAACTATCTAGACCAAGTGTAGAGTCCACATTCTCGCTTTGCCAATGTATATATAGATATATAATGTATAAAGTGGTTTGGCTGGGGCTGTAAAGGGTGAGCGTGGGAAGATATAGATGATTATATATACGAGAATATAGGGATTGTAAAACCCTAGAAAATGGAGATGAGCAAAGCATGCCGGGTATGACAAGGACCATTCACTGTATATTCCTTCGAGAAAGAGACTGTGGGTCCCACAAAAGGCACATATACCGAGTAAAAATAAGAGAGAAGTGAATTGAGTTCAAGACTGTGTGCGCACGAGCATTACCGTATATAACGTAAAAGACATATAACTTTTTCTTTTCATTTCTCTCGCTCATGAGCACTTTTCACTGTTTCTAATTCTTATTCCACTTTGCTTCGTGATCACTTCGTGAGTAGTTCTCCTTCCAATATGTCTCTGTGCCTCTCTCTCATCTTTCTCTCTCTAAAAGTTTTCTTTTTTCTTCTCACTTTTCTCGCTCTACTGAGAGGGAGAATCCAAGATAATAATAAAGAGTCCAAACAAAAGGGATCGAAGAATATCGCTTTTTTGAAAAAAAAAATATTACACTAGTGAAATTAGGGACTTCATTTGATTCAAATTTACTTGTTTGCCCCTCGCTGGATTGAATTGTGTATGGGGATACGACGGGAAAAGCGACTGTTTGAAGAATATATATATAGATATACATATATACATATATATATATATATATATGATAATTAATCTGAATGTATAAATGATTTGAGTTGAATAATTTTGTCTGACAAAGTAAATTATTAAGCAACCAATGACAACACATAGGCAGATGTATTAATGATTGGTCAAAATTCCATCTGAGCCTTGAAATAGAAATTTTGAAGAGAAATAATTATTGGTCTTTTGATTGAAAAGAAGAGAGATTTCGATCATGAAAGGATCTGACAGTACTGGTCAACTTGTCTGAACTTAATACTGCATAATTTTTGAATGTTATAAACATCTTCCAGACAAAGAACTCTAAAATCAATAGATTTTACAGCATTTCAGTCCAAACAAAATTTAACATGTAGCTAGCTAGAGCTAAAAAACAACAGTTAGAATATATTTAACTATAAATAAAGAAGATTTTTAAGCTTTTAGAATTATGAAAAAAGCGAGAGTCAATGGTTGAATAATAAGTTGTCAACCATAATATCTCAACTTGTAATAACTTTGTTGTCAAGGAACTATTCTGTGAAGCGTAATTTTAGTTCATACATATGTATTACTTCCACCATGATTGTTGGCACCAAACATGCTGTTCTATAAAACATAATTACATATGGTCATCCATGTACATAATAATATGGTTATTCAACATAATTATAACGACAAATTGTGTGCTATTTTCTCAACTGGTTATCTTGAGCTAAAATTTCGGCTAATGAAAATCTTATCTTACAAAGAAATGAAAGGGAAAAAAAAAACGTCAATCCTTATTTATAATTGTGTGTGCCAATGCGGTAAACAGGTAATACCTTAAGAGGTCTTTCTAGAAATGCCAAAAAAAAAAAAAAAAAAAAAAAAAAAAAAAAAAAAAAAAAAAAAGACCCTCATGTTGTCTCGTGTTTGTAAATAAGTACAAGATCAAAGGCATATACACACATGGTCATATAAATCTTTGGAGCCTTTCAACGGTTACTGAAAATCCTTGTCCCTATCCGAACCCAGTCAGTGAGTCAGTCAAAAAAGAGCATTTTGTGTAAATAAACCGACAAAATCAGAGGCTTTTCCAACATCTGTCCTTGTAGCCCTTTCAACCGTTCGTGTTCAAACAACAATAATAGTATTAATATAAAGAAGGTAAAGGTGCAGTTTCGTAATTATTTCCAAATTCTCTGCCCATTTCCACAACCTTTAGTCCTCTTATCTATTTAAACACTCAATTCTCCCTACTCTCTTTCAACCTGATCGATCAGCCTCTTTCCAATAGTTCACAAAACTTCCTTTCCTATCTTTAAACTTAACTTCTTCATATCCAAGCTTTAATTATTAAGGTTTTACAAATCCTCGGCAGCCTTTGAATTTTCAGTACAACCTTAATTATGATATTTAGGTAAGTTGTAGACGTTTTACCTAAACATTTTGCCATTTTACTTTGATCAAGCGTATTCTTTTAACCTATACATATTCTAGCATTAATCATTCATGAACTTATTTAATTTGTTTTTTTTTTTTAAATGCGTTACATGAAATGTTTTTGGTATATGTAAATTCACCCAAATATATCATTAATGTATACGTATTTTTAACATATCAGATATGCAATATATAGAATTTGACGTTCAGAAATATATACAATAATTAAATAAGTTCGTTGCAATTTGATTGTTCTATTTTGTATTTTTGGAACAGCTCGTGACAGTGGGAGGAATACACACCAAGAATATGTTATGAAGAACTTATGTCAGTTTATCAGTAGTACTGGGTTCTTGCTGATTTAGTCCTTGTCTCCAAGGTGAAGAAAAATCATGGCCAGGAAACGATCACCATCATCATCATCATCATCTCAAACGACATGTCCAACACTTTTCATCACCGTCTTCTTGTTGATCTCCAATGCTTCAGCTTTACATGCCAACGACGAAGTACTCCAACTTCTGTTGTCGTTCAAAGCCTCCTTAAACGACCCGCTTGGCTTCCTCTCCGACTGGACTCCCAACAACACCAACTTCTGCAACTGGCATGGCATCACCTGCAACAACAACTCGTCCCGAGTGAACTCAGTTGAGCTCTTCCGCAAGAACATATCGGGCAAAATCTCTTCGACGATATTCCGACTGCCTGGTATCCAATCCGTTGATCTCTCCGGTAATCAGCTGACTGGCCAAATCCCTAGTGACATGTTCAGTACTGCTTTCAATTTTATTAAGTACCTCAACCTCAGCAACAACAACTTGACCGGACCGGTCCCGACCGGTTCGATCTCCAGTCTCGAGACGCTCGACCTCTCCAACAACATGCTCTCGGGAAGAATCCCGCGAGACATCGGCCGGTTCTCGAGCCTTAAATTCCTCGATCTCGGAGGGAATATCTTGTCGGGACACATTCCCGTTTCGATGTCGAATATTTCGGGCTTGGAGTACTTCACTTTGGCTTCGAACCAACTATTTGGGGAAATTCCGAGAGATTTGTGCTTGATGAGGAGCTTGAAGTGGATATACCTGGGGTACAACAATTTCTCGGGAGAAATCCCGCGAGAAATCGGCGAGCTGAAATCTCTTCAACATCTCGATCTCGTCTACAACAATCTCACGGGGCAAATCCCGCCGTCGATCGGCGCCCTCACCGACCTACGGTACCTCTTCCTGTACCAGAACAAGTTGTCTGGACCGGTCCCCCGGTCGGTTTTCGGACTGAGAAATCTGGTCTCGCTCGACCTCAGCGATAACTACCTCTCCGGTGAGATTCCCGAGGCCGTTAGTCAGTTACGGCAGTTGCAGATTCTTCATCTCTTCTCCAACAACTTCACTGGAAAGATTCCGCAGGGTTTGGCTTCTCTACCTCGGCTTCAAGTTCTTCAATTGTGGTCCAACTATTTCTCGGGCGAGATTCCACAAGATCTCGGAAAGCAAAACAATCTCACTGTCTTGGACCTTTCGACGAACCGTCTTACCGGAGAAATGCCGGACGGTTTGTGCTACTCCGGTCGGCTTTTTAAGCTCATATTGTTTTCCAATTCTCTCCATGGCGAGATTCCGAAGAGTTTAAGCGAATGCAAGAGTTTACGCCGAGTTCGTTTACAGAATAACAGATTATCCGGCGAAATATCGGAGGATTTCACGAAGTTACCACTCGTATACTTCTTGGATATCTCGGGAAACAGTTTATCGGGAGAAATTGGTGACCGGATATGGAATATGCCTTCGCTCCAAATGCTGAATTTGGCACGAAACCGGTTTTCCAGCCACTTGCCAGTGTTGTTCGGAAGCGAGAAGCTCGAGAACTTGATCGTATCAGAGAATCAGTTCTCGGGCGAAATCCCGCCAAGTTTAGGTAACTTTTCGAAGCTTATGCAATTAGACTTGAGCCGCAACGAGCTCTCCGGTGAAATCCCGGGACGATTATCGTCGTGTGAAAGGCTTGTGAGTCTTGACCTAAGTCACAACCGGCTCACCGGCGAAATTCCGGCGAGTCTCTCCGGAATGGCGGTTCTCGGTCAGCTAGATTTGTCTGATAACGAGCTATCCGGTGAAATTCCGCGAAACCTCGGTCGATCGGAGTCCCTGGTGCAAGTAAATGTCTCTCATAATCACTTCCACGGGAGTTTGCCCTTGACCGGAGGTTTCCTCGCCATAAACGCCAGCGCAGTAGCCGGAAACAGCCTCTGCGGCGGTGATACTGCCTCTGGTTTGCCGCCATGCAAGAAGAGCTTGATCAAGAGCGTTCTTGTTCGTCGTCCCACGTGGTGGCTTGTTCCGATCACGTGCTTCCTTGTTGCGCTCGTTGTCGTCGTTCTCGTCGTCGTCTTTGTTCGTCGTCGTAAGGGTATTTTGGAGCTTAAAAGAGTCGAAAACGAAAATGGAATATGGGAATTACAGTTCTTTGAGTCTAATAAGCTCGCTAAGTCTGTCACCGTTGAGGATATCTTATTATCTGCCAGAGAAGGAAATCCCATAATTGATTCAAAATTAGTGGTGAAGAAAATTAGTGCTAATCATGTGAATTCCATTCATCAGCAGAGTGTTTGGTCCGATATCGGGGAATTCGGGAAAATTCGGCATCGAAACGTGATTAAGTTGATCGGAATGTGCAGGTCACAAAAAGGTGGGTACTTGGTTTACGAGTATTGTGAAGGGAAACTGTTGAGTGAGATTTTGAGGAGTTTGAGCTGGGAAAGACGAAGAAAGATTGCGGTCGGGATCGCGAAAGCGCTGCGGTTTTTGCACTGTTGTTGTTCGCCGGCGGTTGTTGTTGGTCGTCTCTCCCCGGAGGATATCATGGTTGACGGAAAAGATGAGCCTCGCCTGAGCTTGAGAGTTCCGGGATCGATGTGTTCGGAGTCTAAGGGTTTCACTTCTTCTGCATACGTCGCCCCAGGTACATTACATTTATGACTAATTTACCCTTTTTATTTGTATTAATACTAATTCTAATACGTTGTTTGTGACATTAATATTATATGCTCTTTTTTTTTCACATATTGGTATTATTGCTTCGTTTCTTAGGATATATACCTTGAAACATGGTAGACGTAAAAGAATTACTAGCTAGTACGTGTTTTGTTTTGTTTTTTTTTTTTGTTTTGTTTTGTTTTTCTGTTTTTTTTTTTTTTTTTTTTTTTTTTTTTTTTTTTTTTTGGTTTTTGTTTTTGGGTTCGAACTAGCTAGTACTTAGTTATAGTTATGCAGAAGTGTGCGATTAAATAATTAACTAATGCGTGTATTAGTCAACCTTCGTTTACGACAAAACAAACCTATATGTATCTTTCTCCCTAAACTTTATTACTAGTTATCTTATTATTAATTATGAATGGTAATTAGGTAATCTATTTATCAAGTTTTAAAGTACAAAGTAATATAACAAATGAGTAATTAGTACGTTTAAATTAGTGGACTTACTTGAAAACAATATTTATATATTTTTATCAATTGAAGACCTTTTTTATTTATTATATAGTCAATATGTGTTTTCTTTTTATCACTTAATTAAGTTAAATATGTAACCAAATTATAGTATCCTATGGAGAGCACAATGGCTTTTGCATTAAACCACTTTCCAATTTTTCTCACGTGGTTAGCTGTGATTATTAATTGAAAAAGTTTAACATTCCTCAACATAATTACCATTTTATTAACTCATAGTATTCATGTCCATGCACGTATACCAAAATACTAAAAATATACGTTTATTTTCTGTAGAAGCAAGCAAAGGAATAAGTACAGAGAAGAGCGACATCTACGCTTTTGGTCTCATCCTGATCGAGCTGCTCACCGGAAAGAGCCCAGCCGACACTGATTTTGGCGTGCACGAGAGCTTCGTTGAGTGGGCCCGATACTGCTACTCCGACTGTCATCTCGACACGTGGATAGATGAGGCCATCAGGGGACACGTGTCCAGCGACCAGAACGAGATCGTCGAGACCATGAACCTTTCCCTGCACTGCACCGCAGGTGACCCCACGGCCAGGCCATGCGCTACTGAACTTTGCAAAACCCTCAACTCTGTTATGAGGACAGCTTCTTGTGCTTCGGGCCTCAAAAGTTTCTTCACTTCTTAATTTAGTTTTTCCCTCAAGGATTTTGGTAATTTTGTTCAGGTTTTCTTTCTTTCTTGTTTTTTTTTTTTTTTGTTATTATATAATTACAATATTTTTTTAACTTTTTTTTTCTTTTGGTTTATATAACATAAGGTGTTTATTAACTCCTTATGTTGTGTTTTTATGACATAAGGCGTTAATTGATTATAACATCTCAAATGTTTTGTTTGACGGTATAATGTTTGACCTAGCCTTTCGTGTGTAAAAATGTAAAAAAACTAAATGCTATTTAATATACATCATTTACATCTTAATTTTTTGGGCCAGTAATGCCGTTTGTACTCTATGCTCCTTTACCTGCAATTCATATTGTATATTGTACTGCAATATTTATATTATTGATTATTATGATATATACAGTATACTACGGCATATCCTACGTAAGAGTATATATGTATATATATATTATGATATGATATATATGTAATTAAATTAAAATGCATGTTACCGAATGGCTCTCGATCATATAAGCTTATCTAATTTTGGCACAAAACATTTACAAAGATCTAATATTTATCCTTACGTTTCATATATACACACAACAAAGTATAACACGAAAAATGACATAAGTTAAAAAGACAAAATAAAAAAGAGATGCATAAGGTTAAAAAAAAGTCTGAAATAAATTTAAAAAAAAAAAAAAACAAACTATGTTGAACAACACATATCTATTTTTCTAGAATTATTTTTTTCATATTTGTTTTTTTTTTTTGTGTGAGTTTTTTTCCCAGCATTTTTTCCTCTTTAAAGCCTTCAAGTGCCATCCCGGGGCTATATTGTGTATGAAAATAGATAGGTTGTTAATGAAGGAGTCAAAAGACCTCTAAAAATGCATTTTGGGATCTAAAGTGAGACAAATTAATGAATATCCATAAAGACATTAGTGAAAATAACTCCTCGTTTAATTACTCTTTTTATTGCGGATATACACTTGGTTCCTTGGTTTTGTAGACTAATATGTGGCTTCCAAATACTGAAACGATATCAGATAGAGATTCATCAGCGTATTTTCATTTCCTACCAATTTTATGTCTTTACAATATTTTTGTACGTTAATCATGATTAAAAAAAACGACATGCATCCATCTTTTAATTATTACTGTTGCCCAAGTATAGGACAACTAGAGGGCATAACTTAGCTAGAGCAAACCGATCAACTAGTATTGTATCCCCTAATTTCAAGAAGAAGTCTTTAAGAATGTTAAGTACTACGTACTTGTGGTCAAAAATGGTCATCCATGCTAAGGGATTACGTCTACAAGGCTAATTTCTTCTTATTTTTGCTAAGAAATCTAACTATATCCCACCATAAAAAAAAGGAAAAAAAATATAACATTTGACTTTATGAGGAGTATATATAAGAGCATAGCTAATGCAGTGCTAATTAATATGTGTATATCAAATTTTAATATTTAGATAGAAAAATTATCCCAAATATCAAATTTGATACCAAATCTAGTATATGCCAAATTTTGGGTATGTTTTTCATTTAATAATTACAACAAATCTTATTTTCAAATTAGTTAGAAATTAAAAGTTACTTTTACAATTTCAAAAGCTTAAATATTTTGACATAAATTAGACATATCATTTAGAATACTTGATATCAAACTTGTATTTTCTTGGCGTCCCTTAGATAGGTCAATCTATCAATTTGGCTGTCAACTCATGCATTGAAATTTAACCTAGAGGCATATGTGTCCATCATGTAATAACTTGAAATTTAACATAGATAGTTACATTATGTGAAAAATGTTCCTTGCTGTAAGAATCCATCAAAAATTAGATCCGTTTGCACACAATATACCTGTTTATGTAAAACATTTAGTTATTATGTTATAGAGATGTGATTATTCATGTTAAATTTCATAAATACTTCATCAATTTTAGTATTGTGGACCAAAACTGACAAAAAAAAAAAACAAAAATTTAAGTAATATTTTGTCAAAAATTTAGAGTTTAGCAGCCAAATTAGTTTCACAATATTCATAGTTTAGAAATGGTTTTCTCAATATTTATCCATTAATGAGTATCGTTGTTTTAGCCTGCATGTAATATGAACAAGACCTATGTAATGAATTGAATAGCTTACCAAAAAAAAAAAAACATTTATGACAATTAATGAGCATTAAATTTACAGATCTTATAGTAATTTTTTAATTAATAATTAAGGTTAAAGTGTTTATTAACTTGTTATAGCAGGTGATATAGAACAGCACATTATTAAATGTAATTAAGATATACATTTATTTTTATAATTTGTTCAACACAAAAACGTATTAAGTACTTGTCCATGTATATACATATATAAGATATCTATAATATGCGCCCATAAAACAATAACCACAACAAACGCTATTTGTTTCTAATGCTCGTCATACATTGATCATAGCATTTTAATTAATGGAATGTTAGGATCTCCATAATGTTAGATATAATTCTGTTTAACCAATATAGGTGTGAGAAATTTTACCTCAATTAGCTAGGCTTTTAATCAAGAATATTGTGAATACAAATAAATAATAAAGGCTTAAGGAAAGGAGCTAATTAGCAGTGCAAAAGCACCAACAAGAGCACATGGAATTGGACATCTTAATAAGCACAACACGAAGCGACTTTTTCTTCTCTGTGTGTGTGTGTGTCTGCATATAATATATAAAGAAGAGACCATCGCAATTGGCAGGCAAGTGATCAAATGCCCTTGGATGTGAGTTGGGTAAAAATTCAGAGAGAGTGACAGCCACAATGAGCACTCTTTTTTTTTTCTTTTTTTTTTTTTTTATAAATACGGGACCACTGTACTAATAATATCTGATGGCTAGATGATTCTCTTTGTCCAGCGTTGTCGGTCAGTCATTTAAAATTATTATTCTGGCGAAAAAAAAAAAAAAGAAAACAAAAGGAGACAAGAACTAGTTTACAATGGCAAAGTTGCGTGTAGAAAAGTTAAATTAGATGCTGAAGAAGCAAAGACTTTATACATAAATCAGATTCAAAAGAGTACTATCTCGTCTTACTTTTATTGTCCTGCAAAATAGTAATAAAGGTCAAAAGGCTTTGTATTTTGTACCTCATTATATATATGTACAAAATATGTCAACACCAGTTTTTCTCTCACATTTTTTATCACTTTTTTATATTTACTATTTGACACGTGAACTTTACTAAAATGATATTATTATTTAAATAGAAATGAGATACTGAAGTTCACGTGTCAAATAACTAATGCAAATAATAATAAAAAAGTGATGCTACCAAATATATATATATATATATGTATACTACACATACAAGCATGCATGCATATATACATCAGCATATATATATATATATGTATACATATATATATATATATATACACGCACACATACATATCATGCTGCTGATCATATATATATGTGTGTTCCCATAACAAACCGGATACAAGGAGACTTATATATGTCTAAGCACAATCATTACAAATGGCTAGCAGATCAGCCGTGATCACGACCAAAGATAAATCATTGCACTTGTTCATTCCTGGAGGCTCGTAACTAAACTTTTTGAATCATATGGAAGCAAAGTTTGAATTGTGGCTTCACATTAAAAAAAAAAAAAAAGTTTGAATTGTGGCTTCACGTTAATAAACAACGACACTTTTCCTTACCTGATTAAATCTTTTAATTAAAAAGATAATATTCATGATTAAAAGTACTATACCAATTAACATTGTCCGCGTTAGGTTTTATTTTATAACAACATTTTTTCTTATAAATTCTAGGAGTGACAATCAAATTAATACATAGCTAAAGCAATATTATACATTACCATATTTTGTCCTTTTTTTTTTTTTTGCCCTTTTAATTCCCAATTTCTATGTAAATATTGCTTCCAACCTGCAGGTTTTTTTACCGCAACCTTTCTCGAGACTTACTTTTCCTTCTATATTATGATCATAATTATGGTGTAATAAAGTTTGTTTTTAGTGTTTTTCATATATATAGTTTCTATTTTAATTCCTATATATACTATTATAATTCTATTATTAGCTCTAAGCAATGATGGAAAGTGAGTCCAGGAATCCCTTTTCCCTTTATACTCTATCAGAATTCAGAACAGGCAAAGCAAATGTTAGAAGATTCCATCACTAAAGATGAGTCTAAACGCATAAATCTAAACTAGCTGACATTTTAAGGAGCAAACCAGCTAAGTGTTGCTGGCAAAGGAAATCATGATCATATCAGTCAGAAGTGGGGTTTCATTGATCTTGAAACCCTCAAGAGAATATTACAATGATGGTCCTTGGAGACCATGCAAAAAGGTTCTTTGGCTTCTTCCTTTTTCCATTCAAAAAAGCTCCTTTTTTCGTTTTTTTTTCTCTCATATATATACATTTATATATATATATATATATATATATTTGTTCTTCTCGAATCTTGGGTGTGGGGGGTTAATGAAAAAGGGTTCTGATCATGTCTTCAAATTTTCCCCATTTCCCTTTGATCTTCTGAGTTTACTGTTGCAGATGAGAAAACGTTTTAAAAATTGTCAATGTAGATATGTTTGTTTCTTTGAGTTGAAACAAGTGGGTTTGAAGTTTACGAATTTTAATGTGAAAAATAATAATTGGATACACGTGCATTCCATAGAGCATATTTCACCGTAACAACAACCCACTAATTTAACACAATTGGTGATGTTTTGTATGGAGAAAAAAGAAGATTAAAAAAAAAAAAGGTAAGACTTTTTAGCTAGCCAGTTTTCTGGTTGACTGATGCACAACCTAGCCTTTGTAAAAGAAAGTTCTTTCACTTTTTTTTTTTTCTTTTGCATTAAATTATATTTTCACATCTATGCACTGGTACGCATGGGATTGGAAGTGCAAAGATAGTATCAGTATATATGTGTGTGTATATATATATGGCCGTCTTGTAGAGTGGAGAATGAATTGGACCATTTCAGACACATATCGATCCATATTA